TTCTCTCTTTCTTTCTTTCTTTCTTTCTTTCTTTCTTTCTTTCTTTGTTAGTTTCAGGTGTGCAAAACAATGTAATAGTTAGACATTTATAGCCCTCACAAAGTGATAACCCCCCTCCCCCAATCTACTACCCCTCTGACATTGTTTATAGCTGTTACAGTTCCACTGACTCTATTCCTTATGCTGTACCAGCTTTTCTATTTTGAGTTTTGATTATCCTGTTAGTCTGTCCTACAAGACCACAAGACTGGGGATGATAAGCACAATGAAAATGTTGCAAAATTGACCAGATCTTATAAACAGATTGTGTAATTTGTCCTGTGATATGAGTTCTCTGGTTGCTATGGAGCTCTGAGGGGATTCCCCAAGTGGGGAAGCACTCTTCTAGGGTTATTTTACTTACTGCTGAGGCTGTGGATCTGTGGCATGGGAGTGCATCCGCCTAGTGAGAAAACATACAAAGCATTATAACACATATTTGTATTCTTGAGAAGGGGACAATTGAGTAAAGCCCATTTGCCAAACCTCGAAGGGTCCTAAAAGCAAGGGAAAATGCCCATAGATGCATCAGTAGGCTTTCCAGGGATGGGCTTTAGGCAGATTTGGCATTTTTTTTATACCTAGGTAGCTATCTTTGGATATGGCTTCCAGAAGTTTGTTTTCCCCATAAAGCTGTTTTTGTCAGTGTTCCAGTGATTTAAGTAATGTACATATTGTAATATATGATGTATGCAATCAAGGAGGAGTGGCCAGTTGTTTGGACCTACTCATAAGTTTCTTTTAGGGTCAAACTTACAGCCTTATTCTATGTCTTTTTTGTTGAACAGCTAAATGCTGTGCTTCCATAATGTTATCTTTAAATCCCCAATTGCTTCAGCGGATAGCATAGGTGCTTTCATTAGGGGCTGAGATTGTTTTATTTTATTTTTCTTAAAGATTTTATTGGGGATTTGGAGGAGGAGGACAGTGTTGGGGAATTGGGGAAGGGAACAGCCAAGCCATTGTCCTTCAGTCTTAGTTGTGGAGGGCACAGCTAGCTCAGTTCCAAGTCCAGTCACCATCTGGTCGCCCGTCGGCAGCTCGCGGCTGCACAGCTCAAGGTGTTGTGTTAATCTTAGTTTCAGGAGGGCGGAGCCGACATCCCATGTGGGAGTCCAACTGGCAACCCTGTTTTTAGGATCATGTGCTCTCATCAGCTGAGCCAGAGCAGCTTGCCTTGAGCACAGCTCCCTGGCCCATGTGGGAATCGAACCGGTGACCCTGTTGCTCAGAGCTTGTGCTCTTAACCAACTGAGCCACTCAGCTGGCCCCTGAGATTGTTTTAATGCTGCTAACTTAACAGCAGTGTCTGGCAAATGATTACATTTACTTGCCTCCATATTTGCCATTGAATGTTTCTGGTTGTTTTGACTGCTAAAGATTTAAGTAATTGGATAGCCTCTAAGTGTTCTTAAATATAAGAACTTTTTAACCTTTTGTCCAGAAGAAGTCAGAATTCTCTCTGTTGTCGCATACCAAAGTCAGGGGCCATACCAGAGGCATAGCTGCTGTCAGTATAAATGTTAGCCCTTTTATCTTTGGCCAATATGGAAGCTCAAATAAATTCATAGAGCTCTGCTTGTTAAGCAGAAGTTGCGTAAGACATTGGGCTGGCCTCAGTGGTTTCTTTGGAGAGAAAACTGCATAGACTGCTTGTTGGTGGCCTGTTTAATCTTTTAGGTAAGAACCATCACTAAACCAAACTAATTCAAGAGGTGTTACCTGAAAATGCATTCGAGGAGTTAGTAGTTGGTCTGTTAATGTCAGGCAGTCATGAGGGGTTTTGTCAGAGGGCAGAGGGAGGAGAGTAGCAGGGTTGAGAGTATTACAGTAAGCTCTAGTCACATTAGCTGAAGATAATGAAAGAATTTGATAGGTTAGTCTGCTAGCAGAGATGTGCTGAGTATGATGAGAGTTGAGTAAGGCTTCCACTGAATGAGGCACATGATGAGTCAGTGGACAGCCCATTACTACTTCTCCTATGTGTTGTAGTAAATTGGCCGTGTCACAGTAGCTCTTATACAGGGAGGGAGACCTTTCGGCCACCAGATCTAATCGTTGGCTATAGTATCCAATGTACCTATGTTGGCTTCCATGTCGTTGGGTCAAGACATCTGTGGCATTTCTCTCTTTTATGAACATAAAAGAAAAAGAGCAATTGATAATTAGGATGTCCTAAAGCAGGCTGATCATAAGGACTACCTTTTATTTCATTGAAGGCTTTCTGTGATTCCTCTGTTCAAGTGGGGGTCTCTGTCTGGTCAGCTTTGAGAGAGTAGAAAGGTTGAGCCAATGATAGAAAAATTAGGAATTCAATTCTACAGTATCTGGCCAAACCTAGGAATCCCTTGAGTTGCCTTTTAGTCTTGGGAATAGGAAAAATTAGAATGCTCTGGATCCTCTTGAAATTCAAGGGGAGACCTTTGTCAGTACAGTCATGTACCGCTTAATGACAGGGATGCATTCTGAGAAATGCATCGTTAGGCGATTTTGTCATTGTGTGAGCATCATAGAGTGCACTCACATAAACCTAGATGCTATAGCCTACCACACACCTAGGCTATGGGGTATAACTACTGCTCCTAGGCTACAAGCCTGTACAGCATGTTACTATATTAACAAATGCAAGATTAAGTGAAGCACAAGAGAAAACGATACAATCAAGAGACACTAAATACAAGATGTAGGAGGGTGCTACTGGCATACACAGCATACTGTTTTACAGCTAACCTTTTGATGTGCAGCTAGACTAATCTGGGGATTTCAAAAGAGCCGCACCTTGGCCAGTTTAACTGTAAACCATCCTGGGTAATTATGGTCCAGCCAGACAGAAAGCTGCAAGGTGAGGGCCCGTAATTTTATACATAAATACAGCAGGAGGTCCAGAAGGTGGCTGTTCAGGTCCCATAGACAAAAAGCTGGCAAAAGAGGACACTCACACAGAGCCTGAACCTCACGCAACCAAGGCAGGAGGTTTGGGTCTTGGAGGACTTACCACAACAATCTGCAACCACAGGGGAGGCAAAAGAGTGCAATGGACTCTTGTAGGTATCTTATTCGAATCTGTGGAGGCGCTGAAGGGAGGAGGCAGGCCACTCCGGATCCCACTTCTGACACTATGTAATGTCAATCAATTTGACTAAGAACTGCAAGGCAAACAAATCTTTATTTTGGGGTCTTTTTTAGGAATAGCAAGCTTGGACACATAGATTTTGATAGAAATTCAACTCTATTCCAACGGGGAAAGAAAGGGACAGAGTTTATAAAGATAGAAAAATGAGGGAGGTCTATTAGCTCAGTTTTCTAGAGACCTCCCAGATCCATTTTAAACTGCTCTCTTGACAATATCAATTTCATTTTTTTTCTTTTGCAAGTTACTTCCTCCACTCCCCCAAAGATAAATTTTGTCTAGCATCTTATTTTTCTCTTTCTTTTCATCCCTCTCTTCCTCCCTTCCTTCTTACCCAGCAGGAAAATTCTGAATAACATAGCTTACTAATTCTGGAAATAGGTCTAAAAATTTATTTATAAATAGATAATCATTAACAACTGAGTATAAGCCTTAAATAGTCTTTCCCTTCTGAGCTTCTTTTAAATCTGTTAGTCAAGGTAGATAACATAGATCATAAGTCAACATAAAAATATGTAATTTAGACATTTCAGGTGAAAAGGTCCCTAAGAATGACCCCCATATTTTAAGTATTTTTCTAAAAATTGAGTAGCTTGAATGACTGGCTGAGCTTAATATAATTTATTCCTTAAACTTACTATACAGACACTTCCTGTTGTAAGAAAACACATCTAATTCAAACTATCTTAAGCCTCAAAGGGTATTTGTTAGCTCAAGTCAAAAGTCTTGGGATAACCGGCTTTAGGCACAGCTGGGTCCAGGAACTCAAACATTGTCATTAGGCTTGGTGTCCATCTCTTAGTGTCTGTTCTGTGCTAGCCCCACTCTCTAGCAGGCTCTCCTATGATGGTGAGATGGCTTCCAGAAACTCCAGTCTCATAGCCTATGCATAGCCTATGAGCGCCAATCTTTACTGATTATGCATCCAACAGTAAAAGTTAAGCACATATCCCCAATGTGTGTATTTATTTATAAATTATATACTCCTACGTACCAGTGTTATTCTGTATGTTATATTAATTATTAGTAGAGTCCAGTTTTTGTTTTTATGATAAAGAATAAAATAGAAGGCTTAGTATTTTCTATACTCCCAATGGATTTTTTTTGCACACCCCGCTTTGGGGACGACTTAGTGGAAACACCCATCTTTTCCATCAGTTATAATTGTAGTCCTGTGACCACAGCTCATTGATTTTTTTTTTACCTAGCTTGAGTCATATCCCCATTCCTGAGTCCAGAGCCCTTAAAATAGTAAAAGCAAATTTTACTAACATAAGGTGACACAGATACCTGACTAGGCATAAATAGAGAGACACTATACACTATTTTCACTTTTTAAAGATATTTATATTTTGGGATCTTATAATCATTGACATATTATCCAAAAAAGGGGTGCATAATCTTTCTTTCTGTACAGAGTTTTAAAGCAAAGATTCTCTATTTCCATACCAATTTAATTTCACTAGTCTATACTAAATGCCTGTGCTTTCACACTTGGGGTATATAAAAGTACCCCATTTAGTTTTTGTTAATACTCCAGGGACAGATGAGTGCTATATGTTAAGATGTAGGAATTGACAAGTCTTGCAAATAAAATGCTATGCTTATAATTTTTGAGAACGGTCATTTTGAACAAGATGGGTAGCTATGTGGAAAGGCAAGTGATAGGGGTCCTGAATAATTTTCAGAGTTCTAAAGAGAAAACGAGTTCACTGGCTGGAGAGAGTTTTGCTTGTAAGCATGGGTAAAGCACATGAATGGAAAATATTATTTAGGAGCTCTCTGATGAACAGCCTGTTCTGTGTATTTAAAAATTCATCTTCTGTGGCAGAAATGCAATGGCTCATCTTGATTCTGAGGTGAAAGAAGAATGCCTGAGGGAAGACCTGAAGTTTTACTTCATGAACCCTTGTGAAAAATACCGAGCCAGACATCAGATTCCATGGAAACTGGGTTTGCAGATTTTGAAAATAGTCATGGTCACCACACAGGTAATTTATATTATGAGTTTGTTTGGGTTTTTTCCTTATCCCAAGATGAAAGTGTTTTGACATGTTCTGCCACTTGACTTTTGTTCTGAAAAGTCCACGTTCAAGTTCATAAAACTGTAAAATTATGTTGACACTGGAGTGCAGATGGTAGGTTAAAGTTCATTGTAGGTGGCGAGTTTGTTTTAGTAAGGGATTATGAGGTCTTGTCTCCACAGGTTCTTTCATTATAGGTAAAAGTAGATCTATATGGGTGTGGGGGTGGTTCTATATGGGTGTGTGGCACGTGAGCTGGCAAAGGCTGCTCAGTCCAAAGTGATTTGTGTTCTGGAAATTTCTCATCTTTATCCAAATACGTCTTACTTAAATACTCTTTGGAAATTTGCATTTAAAAAAAAAAAGATTTTATTGGGGAATTGGGGAAGGGGAACAGTGTTGGGGAATTGGGGAAGGGGAACATCCAAGTTGTTGTCCTTCAATCTTAGTTGTGGAGGGTGCAGCTAGCTCAGCTCCAAGTCCAGTTGCCATCGGTCAGCAGTCAGCCACTTGCGGCTGCTCAAGGTGCCATGTTCAATCTTAGTTGTGGGTGGGCATAGTCCACCATTCCATGCAGGAGTCTAGCCAGCAACCTTGTTGTTAGGAGCACGTGCTCTCACCAGCTGAGCCATCCTGCCACCTGTTGGCAGCTCAGCAGCAGCTCAGCTTGGGCTCAACTCACTGGCCCATGTGGGAATCGAACCGGCAACCCTGTTGCTCAGAACTCATGTTCTAACCAAATGAGCCACTCGGCCAGCCCCGGAAATTTGCATTTTTGACTGTTTTAACTTTAAAGACTAACAGAATGCTAAGTTTCCCTTTCCTCAGTAGCTAAGTGCTCGAAGTAAACCCCTGGAACTATAAGAGCATACAAAAGCTACATTGAGACCTTTGTTTAAGTCCATACTGTTAAGCACTTTATCACCAGTATCACAACAGCCATCAGGGTTGCCATCTAGTTTTTGGGCCTGTGGTAAGGAATCATTTTCAGGGAGGCGTCTCTCTAGGTAACTACATTTGAAACATATGCTCTTTAGAAAATAGTACTGATTTGAAGAATTTGGCTCCACTGGCAAATAATCATTCTGTTATCAATGTAAAAATGTTTGTAAAGATGTTATTTCTTGAACACAAAAATAAATACCTTTCGGGCCGGCCGAGTGGCTCAGTTGGTTAAGAGCTTGCTCAAGAGTTTGAGCTCTTAACAACAGCGGTTCGAGGCCTGGCCCGAGCTGAGCAGCAACTGAGCTGCCAACAGGTGGCAGGATGGCTCAGCTAAAAAATAAATAAATAAATAAATAAAAATAAAGAAAAATAAATACCTTTCTAAAGATACCTCCATATAGTTTTAGAAATGAGAGGAGGTTTCTACAACTTCATTACTGAAGTTGCATCTTTCTTCTGTGTTCATGAAGAGGCCTTTTCATTGTATGACACGCTCTACTATACCAGCTCATCATCAAGTGTTCGGGTACCAAAGTTACTTCAAAAAAACAATCAAACAAAAAAACAAAACGACAAGGGCCACAGTTAAATGTATATTCATAGCTTTTTTCCTTTTAAATTTTTTTCATTTTAATTCTTGGTTTTGAAGTTTTAATTTTGGCAACCTATAAAGGAGGCATATGGTCAGTAATTACTAGGATGGACAAATAATGTCCCCTTTTGTCATTTGGTTAATTTTAATTGTTTCCCACTTTCTCCTCTTGCCAAAATAGCTTACATTTCAATTTTTTGATCTATCACTATTACTAAAATTCTAATTTTTTAAGGCATGAAACATCATCACCATCTTTAACTTACCTTCTTTGTCTTGATAGCTACTAAATACCATGGGTTCTTCCCTCAAAGCCGCATCTGTTTATGTTTTGCCATACTCACAATCTCCTCTCTAGCACAGACTCTTATCTGATTAGTTAATTAAAAATATGTATGAAGCACCTCGTATGCTGTGCATTCTGTTGATCATACAGCTGTGGATGTGTTACTGCTTCGCATAGCTATCATGTAGCATAGCGTTTACAATGTGCCAGGCACCGTATGTGCTTTGTGTGCGTTAACTCATTTCATCCTCACTACAAACCTGAAGTAGGCTCAGTCATGACCCTCTTTCATGGATGAGGAAACTGGGCTAACTCAAGTTAAGTAATTTGCTTCTGGCCATTCAGTTCATAAGTGGCAGAGTGGAATTTGAGCCTCAGCTTTGTGGCCCTGAAGTCTGCACTCTTATTCTCGTATTGTTTCTGTTCTAGATACACAGCCTCAGAGTTTGAGATCTGGAATACAGGGAAGTTAACTAGGCTGCTCCTGGTCTTCCTCTTATGCCTCCCTTTCTTATCCTCATACATACCAGTCCATTCAATATTAATATGAGGTTAAGTTTTCTTAGCATGACTTCATTGTGTCACTGTCCTGCTCAGAAACTTCTGTAGAGCCCTATTTCCCACAGAAGAAACTCTCGACTGTATAGCCTAGAATTCACAGATTTCCATAGTCTCCTTCAATTTGCCTTCCCATTGGCTTTCATCTACTATTTACTCTTCCAAACCCAGCCAGGTGGACCCACCCAATGGTTCCTGCTCTGCTGGTTCTTCCAAGTCCAGGGCGATTCTTTTTCCTCCTGCCTCTTGCAGGTGCTATTTGAAATCTATCTTTCCCACCAACTTTGCCTGACCACTCAACACATGGTTTTCTTTAGTATACTAGGGTACCCCGATGTCCACATCACTAATTTCACCTTTAATAGAATATTTCTGGGAATCATTTACTTTTTGTATGGGTACCCTGCCTCCCCTAACAAAATTGGGGGGGGGGGATTAAACTTTTGTTCCCCTGTAGGATCATTCTAATAAGATTAGCTATTTGGGTGATATCTAACTGGAACAGATTTCTCAAATACCTTTCCTTCTTTCAAATCCCGCTTTTCCCTCCTCCTCTTTTTTTTTCTGTCCTTTTAGCACTCCATCCTCAAATCTAAAGGGATGGGTGGCATTTTATCAGGGTTGATGAGAAGGAAACGATTTTTCAGACATTCCTGCTCTGCAGTCTGCAGGAATTTATAATCTTGAGAGAGGTGTCTGCATTCTTTTGCTAGTTCTACTCTTTCCCTCCCATATTCTTTGTATTATGAGAGTGGTACCTTGTTTTTACCTGGTACAGAATAATTTCTCCTACACTGATTGATTTCATAATCAGGTCTTAAATTCACAATCTTTGCCAGGCTGCACTTAACTATGTAATTATTTTTCTGCCTTATATTCTCAGCAAATCTTAAGATCTACTTAGTGGGGCTAAGATGCATTTTTTTTTTTCTTTCAACTCCTTTTTAAAAATAAAATTATTTGGCCAATCCTACCATCTCTTTACTATTGCTCTGTTAGAAGTATTTGGTTTTGCCATGGCAGGAAGGAGACTTCATGGTCTCCTCTTTAGTATTTCTCTCCTCTACTGAGAGATACTTTGAAAACCTCAACCCTTATCTGATGCTAGGCTACACATGTGGATCTTGGCTTGTTCTATGAACGGTATCTTGGAAGAAATGTCTTGTTCCCCATGCCAGAGATTACACTTCCAGTTATCTTGCTTCCTAAGTGGAGTTGATGAGCTTCGAATTTAAATAAGGTGGTGGCTTAAAATATCAGCAGATTGTATGCCACTTCCTTGATCAAGTTACCCATTCCCCATTCAGAATTTTTTTGTTCTTTAGCTTAACTTGAGCACGGGGGAATGGGTTTCCTATCTCTGCTTCTAGTTAAGTTGGCAGCACTTCTGTTTGAGAAGTAGTGAGACCAAGTGGTCAAGAGAACAAATAGGTGAGTCATACAGACCTGTTCGGATCCTTACTCTGATACTTTCTAGCCATTCCAATCTGGATAAGTACTTGAGTTTAGTTTGCACATGTATAAAATGGGATTATATTCATCAATGGATTCAGTATTTGACTCTGACATTGTGATGGGCACTATTCCTTTTCCCGAATGTGTACTACTAGTGGGGAAAAAAGAAAACCAATCCTGTCCTTGTGGAGCCCAGTGTCGTATCTCCCTCATAGGATGTTAGGGAATTAAATGAAAAATAAAAATTACAAATTTGAAACATAGTGCCTGGCACTCAGTAGTAAGAGTTGTTATTCAAAACAATGCAGTATTGACCTTGCCCACCTTGTATCCCAGTTTGGCACAGAGTGGGCATTCAGCAAACTTTGATTGAAGAACTTAATTCCTGTGTGCATACTAGTTTTTTCATTTGTGTGTCAGTACTTTAAACAAAGCCTTGAAACAATCTTGTGTGTTTTGGTTCCCTGGTTTCCTTTTTTTAGCTTTCAAAAAGCAACAGGGCCTTTTCTGGCATCCCCTACAGGCACCACTGACAGACATCACATACTTGGAAGAACCTTTAGCTTTCTGTTGCTTAATTTTCAGCACAGGTTGGATGATGTGGGACTTCTTATCTGATATATTTTTTTAAAGAATAGCTGGGTTTTAGCAATTGCTCAACCCTTTGAGTTGGTATTTGAGGAATGTGACCTGGTGAAGCTCAGATGCTAATGAATATGTACATTCTCAAATAATAGTTGCAATTCTAGAAAGATAGCACCTAAATTCTTTTCTACAGGCAGAGGCTGAAAGACAAATTTTTCAACAGAAAGAAATTGTGTAGCATAGTAAAAATGACTTTGGAGTAGGATTTGGCTTTCATTCTAGTTTGGCGACTTAGGGCAATTTAATGAGGGTAAATCTCAGTTTCTACATAGGTAAAATGGGGGTCAACAGTAATAACATTTTTATAGGGTTGTTCTGCTAACAAATAAAGAATGCGTGGAAAGCAGTTAGCACAGCACCTGGAGTATAATGGTAGCTATTGTTTTTAATTATTCAGCCTTTAAAAAAAGTTAGAAAAAAATTTAAAGGCTAAACAATATTTTTTAAAGTATGAAAGTTTGCATGGCATGTTAACATTTGCTTCATCTGAAAAGTTCAGTAGTTGATGTCTTGTTTAGTGCCCTGCAGGGTATCGTATGGAGCCATGGAATGACAGCAAATAACAGAAGTGTCAAGGTCATCTAGTTCAACTTGCTAATTTCACACATGATGAAACAGAGTCCCAAACTGTTTTGGTGACTTAGCAAATTGAGGATTTGGGGCAAATTTTCTAGTCTTTCATTGTCTTATAAAGCAGATGAGAAGATAAAGTGGGGAGATGTGGAATAGGGCTTATCGAGGTTTGACTTCCACCACTGTGTGTGTGTGTGTGTGTGTGTGTGTGTGTGTGTGTGTGTGTGTGTGTGTGTGTAAAGAGAGAGAACATGAAAGAGAGAAGGAGGGACTCTGTTTTCATATGTGTGAGTGTGTGTAAGAGTATGTGAGAAAGTATATGAGTGTGTGAGTGAGCATGTAAGTATTCATGTGAGTGTGAGTGTAAGTGCGTGTGAGAGAGTGTATGAGAAATAGAGGTGGTTTGTGTGTATATGTGTAATATGTGTATGTGCTATATGTGTAATTCCCTGGGTTTCTTTTAGTAAACCTTCAGTACCCATTGATTTCCCCCACTTAGTGGATACCAAGAAGAAAACTTTGGGGCAGAAGGCATACTTTCAGTTCTGATGAAGACAGGCCTTGGTGCTAGGATACAGCGTAAGAGAGATTAAGTAGGCGTTTTATCATGAGAAGGTAGGTGCTCAGTGACAATGAATGGGTTTGACATCACAGAGGTAAAGTGAGCCCTGCTATTCTTTCTGGTGCTTTGATGCTGGAGATCTTGGAGAGGGAAACTCTTGGGTGTAAATGTTAGAAAAGAGTTATTGCAGAATTGGAGGAACTGAGTTCCTTTGATAACGATCTCCTCTTAGCTGGAGTAAGTATATGTAGGCTACTTTTGAAAAACATTCTCAAAGGCCACGTGCAAAACATAGTTGTGATTTTTAAAAATACTTATAATTTCTGAATGTTAATAAAACGTGAATTATTGCTTTACTAAGTACACTAATATTTAAAACAATTAATTTGAAGTCCAAGTATTAAAAAAATGGATTCAGACTTAACAAATTTGGATTCCTCCTTCTTCTCCTTCTTTAAAGGCCAGCAGGGCAGTTAGTAGTCATCGACAGTGGTAATTTCTTCCCATTTTATGCTATTTCAAATTGCCGATATAGTTTGATGAGTTTATTCTCTTTTGGGACTTGTATTTTGACAATGATGTGATTAGTAAAACCAACACAGTGAGATTTCTCTTGCTGATGTTTATAGGTGAGGCTGATGATAATAAGAAAGTATTTGCCTCTCCTGATAAATGGTAAAATTCATATATGTCTATTTGATTTTATTTTCCAGCTTGTTCGTTTTGGTTTAAGCAACCAGCTGGTGGTTGCTTTCAAAGAAGAAAACACTGTTGCTTTTAAGTACTTGTTTTTGAAAGGATATTCTGGCATAGATGAAGATAACTACAGTTGCAGTGTATATACTCAAGAGGACGCCTATGAGAGCATCTTTTATGTTATTAATCAGGCAAGTTTTTGTTGTGAGTGATATAGGTTTAAAAATATATTGACACTTGATTTATTGTCTTAGCAAAAAAAATTATACATATCTTAAAATATTCTAATTAAAATTTGTATAGTCTGCCAAAAATGTTTATTGCTGTTTCTGTGGCTACATTTCCACACAACAGGTTTTGCCTATTTAAAATATAATTTTTTAAGATTTAAATTTTTTATGTATCGCTTCACACCCGCTACTTTGGGCTGATTACTTCACCCCAGATCAAATAGCCAAGAGTAAATTTATAATCCTGGAAAGTTTGATGGATGTGATACCAAATCTAAGATTCTAGAGTCTCAATTTTGATGTCTTAGCATTACTAAGTCTAGCTGAATCTTAAGAATATGGAGTAGAATATGATATAGTTGTATCTAGGCAGGTATTGAGAAACCAGATTGGTAGGCCTGAAGAAAGCATTTAGTGGAGAGAAATTATTATTCTTTTTTTTATTTTTCATTCATTCATTCATTCATTCATTCATTCATTCATTCAATATTTGGGTATCTAGTATATGCCAGGTACTCTTCTAGACATTGGGGATACAGCATGAATAAAACAGACAAAAACCCTGTCCTTGTAGAACTTAATTCTCTAGGGGAGAGCCAGATAAATGAAAAGAAGTGAAATATATAGTATTGAATTCTAGCTCCCTGAGAACACCACCAAAAAACATGTTGATAATCAACACTGAGTTTATTGCTTACAGCAGTTAAGGGGGCTGCTACCTTGACCATTCTCAGTTGTGTCTTGGATGAAGAGGGCAAAGTCCAGGCGTAGATTTTGAGGTCTGATTTAAGGGGGGGTGTGTCTTTTATTGTGAGGGGGGTGCTAGGTTAGAACTGGGTAAAGATCCTGATAGAATGAATACTTTAGGATTGGTGGACACAGCCAGGTGAGCATTGGGGGACGGTTTCAAAGGGTCTTGGGGTTATAAGACTAAATCTTCAAATTGACTCTTTAAATAAGGTTTTTGGATGCTCCTGAAATAAACAATATAGTTATTTGCAACTTTTATGTTCCTGGGCAAAAGTGTCCTGGAATAATAATGTCATATTAATGAAGATGGGAGCTGTTAGTGCAGCTAGGTAAGTGGTAAAATCATGTTCACATAAGCCGTGGGGTGTGGAAGGCTTGGATCTTCAGTGGTATGTCAGAAAGTGATAACTGCTCTGGAATAAAGCAGGGGAGGAGGGGATTGGGAGTGCCTGGTGGTGCCTGTGAGCTGGTGATGGATGTTTGCAATTTTCATTGCCTGGTAAGGGAAGGCTTCATTGAGGTGGTGATATGTGAGTCAAGACCTGAAGCAGTGAACCTAGCAGAAAGAAAACCTGGGCTTCTAAGCAGAAGGAACAACAAAGGCCCAGGCAGGAGTGTGCCTGAGGAGCTGCAGGAGCTGCCTGGAGGCCAGCGTGGCTTTGGGAGGTGGAGGGTGGAGCCAAGGACCAGCAGGCTGCTATGAGGTCAGAGAGGTAAGGCAGGACCTGAGCTCTGGCTCCGAGTGAGGTGGGAGCCTCTGTCAGCATGTTCACTTTAGTTTTGAATTCTGTGAGACAGAGCGTTTATGCCCAACCTGAGAAAATTACCTTGTGGTATTTTACATTGAGGGATATGACCATCAACAGTAAAACATAGCCAAAATGTATGCCATGTGCTGCAACTACTGATGAAACCTTTGGAAGTGCCTAAGTGTTTCAATTTAACTATTTTTAATAGTATCATCGTCTAAAGAATGTATCCCTGGGGACCCTAAACTATGGAGAAGAGGAAGAGAATAAAATTGGCTTAAAAGTCTGTAAGCAGTATTACAAGAAACGGACCGTGTTTCCTGCTAATGAGACACTGAATATTGACAGCAACATTGAAACAGGTAATGCAGTGATCATTTCATTCTATCCCTTCATCATCTGTGGTAAGTGCCCGCATGTGATGGCAACCGAAATGGAACAACTTTGCTTTTGTAACTGCTAACTTATTTGAGGCTGTGACATTGACTTTTGCCTGCAGAGGGCTGTGGCTCGGGAAACTGCGGGTCTATGGTAATAGGACCTAGCATTGGTGGATCTCTTTGGTGAAACTCACTATTGTTGGGTTTGGGGTAAATGCCCAGGTGTTTCCTGTTCGTTTAGGTTTTTGCCTCTATGAGGCGGTGATAAGGCTTTTTGAAAACCAATGAGTCTGTATTTATTAAATGAAATAATGTGTGTTAAAATGCTTTGTACTCTGATTTTTATTATATGCTAAATATATTCATGCTCTTCAAAGGCAAATTGAGATTAACAACTCATTTTCTCATTTAGGATAGCACTTAACATCTAATCAAGCAGAATTGTTTTGTGCTATTCTGATAAGAATTTAAAAGCCTGCCTTGCAGAAATGCAAAGTGTTTGATTTAAGGCTCTGGGGGTTTTGTCATTCATTCAACAGACCTCTTGTGTACACCTACCGTTCCCAAGGCACTCACTGTTTTATGTACACAAAAGCATATATATACCAGGGTGGTCCCATAAGCTTACAATGGAGATGAAAAATTCCTATTGCCTAGTGACATCACAGTGCAATTACCACTGCACTGCAGTTGCCTACAGTATTCAGGACAGTAACATGCTATACATGTTTGTAGTCTAGGAGCTGTAGGGGAACAGAATTTGTCACCCCAAAATATGTCTATTTGGCATAAGGATTATTTTGCGGGTTAATTTAAGAAACAGCAGACATGGAAGAAGCTCTGAAAACCAAGTAGAAGTTACCCTTTGTAAAAGACATTTACATTTATAAGGGACATCTCTATTTGTAAGGGTGTATCCCTAGCTGTACCCAGAAAAGGGGGTGACCCTGTCTCTAGAGACTCCTAACAATGTGGAAGACCGAGATTTAAATCTGCTTAACCACCTTACCTTTGTTTATTGTGCTTTTCCTGGGAACCTCCCATAACTGATTCTCCCCACCCACAACTTTTGTCTTTAGCTGAAGATGGTGGCTTCAGCCATTTTGGTGAGATATTCAGTTTTCCTGGGTCTCTGTATATAGGAAGTATATATGTCATTAAAATTTTGTTTGGTTTTTCTCCTGTTAATCTGTCTTTTATTACAGGGATGTCTCAGCCAAGAATCCAGAAGAGTAGAGGGAAAATTATTTTTCCTCCCCTACCGAGCAATAGACTATGCCATGTAGCTTAAGTGTGTAGTAAGCTATACCATCCAGGTTTGTGTAAGTGCACTCTGTGATGTCCACACAATGAGGAAATCGCCTAATGGTGCATTTCTTAGAATGTAACCCTATTTTAAGCAGTGCATGACTGTACTGGGGTTGCAAAGCTTAATCAGTCATGACTCCTCAAGTAGATAATAGTTCAGTGGTAGGGGTTCTAGTAGCAGTTTAAATTGGAGTGATTTTACTAACATGAGGACATCACACTATTCATTTGACCATGGTCTGATTTTAAGGTGTCTTGGGAAGGCAATAGAACGCCTGCAGAAGACAGAGGCTGTGATTCTGTTTCCACAAACTGCCTCTTCATGAGTAAATGTGTCCTGAGCTCTTGACTGAGAAAGCAGCAGCTCATAAGCCAACACCATCAAAGGCCCCGGGTTGCTATCAGAGACCATCTAGGTGTCAGTGGCTGGTTCTGTGGCCAGTGGCCTTGACAAGAGGCTTGTCTGATAGCCCTGCAGGTGTTTGCTATCCTGAGATCTACGAAGTCTGACAATTCGTGAACTTGGGGGTGGCTGGATACCTCAGTTGGTTAGAACATGAGCTCTGAACAACAGGGTTGCCAGTTCAATTCCCACATGGGCCAGTGAGCTGCGCCCTCTACAACTAAGATTGTGAACAACGGCGCGACCTGGAGCTAGGCTGCTGTGAGTGGCTGGTAGATGGCCGGCGACTGACTGCCTCAGCCATGTAGAGCGCAGTGCTCATAATACCAACATGGGTCAGTGAGTGGCGTTCCTCTACAACGAGACTAAAAACAATGGTTTGACTCAGAGGGGGCGGGGAGCGGAAGTTTGTGAACTTGTTGCAGCGATGTGGCTAACCTTTCTTGATATCAGAGGGATTATTCGTTATGAATTTGTACCAATTAGACAAACAGTTAACCAAGTTTACTATTTGGAAGTGCTGAAAAGGCTTCGTGAAAAAGTTAGATGACCTGAACTTTTTGCCAACAATTCTTGCATCATGACAATGCACCAGCTCATGGAGTTTTTAGCCAGTAAACAAATAACTGTATTGGGACACCCTCCCTACTCACATGATCTGGCCCCCAATGACTTCTTTCTTACCCAAAAATAAAGGAAATACTGAAAGGAAGACATTTGAATGACATTCAGGACATCAAAGGTAATACAACGACAGCTCTGATGGCCATTCCAGAAAAAGAGTTCCAAAACTGCTTTGAAGGGTAGACTAGGCGCTGGCATTGGTGCATAGCTTCCCAAGGGAAGTGCTTCAAAGGTGACCATAGTGATATTCAGCAATGAGGTATATAGTCCTTTTTCTAGGATGAGTTCATGAACTTAATTGTCCAACCTTGTATGTGGTAGTCAGGAGTGAATCATTTTACTCTGAATCTTTTTCCTGAGGCTGTCAGCTCTGCTACTTCCTGTGGGTGTTCCTGTCTCTGTGATAGGAGTACCCAAAGGGTGGAGCTGAAAGCTTGTGCAGTGACCCTGTGCTTCCAGTAAGCCACTGGACACTTGTCCTCTTAAAAATGTGACTCAATTTGATGCATCACACAACTATTTTCCAGTGATTCATGTTGTTTTCCTCTATTGATTTTTTTTGGAAAATTGACAGAAGAAATGTGGCCAAAGTCAGTATCAGTGGCGAGGTAAGACAGGTAGTGCCAGAAAGCAGGACTATTCTACCCTGACAGTTGGACAGCGGTGCCCTTGTTAATTTCCTTTCTATCAGAATATGAAATATTTTTAACCAAGTGGAGAGAAATTGATTATTAATTTGACTTTAAGAGCAGGTTAGTTGTATTCCCTGACTTATGAAATATAACTGTTTAGATGTATCTATTCAAAAGCTATAAAGAATAGTTTTACATTAACTTGTTACTGGACTTTAGGCTTTTTTAGACTGATTGGAGGAAGCCTGCAGGTGATATAAATAGGAATTGAGTTTGACTTCACTGGTGTGGCCTTATAGTTTAAGTAGGTGAATTGGCAGAAGCTGTTCTAGATTACCTAGTCATGAATTTGCCTTGTCTCTATTATTAAGAGAATCATCCTTCAGAGGGCTAAAGTGATCTGCCTGTATGCCTGCTTTCCCAGCAGGTTATATTTATTGGGTCTTCGGAAAAGTCATGATATATATTGTCTGTGTTTTTCAAGGGTCATTTATTTATATAAAGAACAAAGTTCAATCAATGATATATTGCCCATTTTGTTCGATAACCTTTTGCCATCTTTCAGTGAGCTTCATAATTCCTCCTTTATAGAAGGACCTGTCTTTATTTGCAAAAAACTGAACAAGGTGCTGATTTACAGCCTCATCTGAATTGAACGTTATACCATGCAAGGAGTTTTGAAGAGA